CATACCCACCCCCCGGACCCCCTACACGCATCTGTCCCGCCCCGCCCTCACCCGCCCCTGGGTTCAGCGTTCACCATCAATCCCCACCTTCACCCTCCCCTCCCCAACCCTCGCCACAAACCAACATCCCCGTTCCACCCCCCGCCCCTCACACACCCTCTCCATCCAATTCCCTCCTCCCGCCGTTTCCCCGTCCCGCTCCTGGTGCTGTGCTAACCGGCCCCGCCCAAGCAACATCCCTCCCGGCAACCCCCCCCCGCCCAACACTATCGCTCCCCCGCCACTTCACGCGACCCCTCCATCCAAATCCCACCTTCCACCCCTTCTCCACGTTCCCGCCCAAGCCAAACATCCCGTCCCAACCCCCCTGCCCCTACACCATCGTTCCCCCGCCGCCCCTCACCCTCCCTCTCCATCCAATCCCACCTCCGCCTTGTTCCCCACTCGGAGGTAACCGCCCCGCCAAGCCGGCATCCCTTCCCATCCCAAACCGCCTTTCAGTCTGCTCCGCAAAAAGTGGCCTTCTTCCCGCCATCCCGACCAGCCGCCCCCGCCCATCCCGACGCTGTGATAAACCCTCGCTTTAAGCGCTCGATGCGGCCCGCGGCGCAAGCGGCTGCTCGGCGGCTCTCGCTGAGCGGCGCCCGCGGATCCCGGGCCGACGGCCGTGCCGCCCCCGGCGCCCGGAGGCCCGGTCTGCCGTTGCCCCGCAGTGGCCCGGTGGAGGTGCTGATGCCAGTGGTGGGGGAGGGCGCGAGCGTGTGGGAGGAAGGGATGAGGTATGTGTGTGAGAGGATGAAGATTAATGGAGGGCAAAGCTGTGGTGCGGCGCGTGAGGAGCTGAGCGGAGGGTAACGGTGGGGCGGAGTGGGCGGGGGCGGGAGGCGGTCCCTCGTGACCCACACGGGAGGGGGCGCTGGACGCCAAATTGTGGGTGTATGTAACCGGAATGTTCTGCGCTGGACGAGATAGCAGCCACTAGTCGGCTTTTGCACTTCGTTGAGTGTGAGTTACGGAGTTAGGTATTCCAGCGCTCAGCGCATCGCCTCCACTTTGCTGACTGCCCTGCTTGTGCCGGCGAAGAGGTTATTGTCCTGTTGGTGAGGAAGAAATCGAGACGTGCAATTTGTCGACACTTTCGTTTTCAAAATGATTTAATGATCAAATGATTAAATAAAGGCGATATAAATTTCTAGTCAGCAATTTGATGCCTCAGAAAATCTCAGTAAATCATTAAATTATTCAATTTCATCACATTTCTTCGTCAATTTTCCTCCCATTTTACAGTTATTAAAACATTTCAGCAGGAGATCTTTTGAACTTAAATAACCTTATTTTTCTTTGTTCATTAATAGATTATGAATTCTTCGCTCAAAGATTGGTCATAATTTGGAGAAAAAATCTAGAAAAAACATTGTTTGCCAACATTCTGTTAAATAGTGATAAAATGTTAGATAATATAACACTATTTTACTACAACGCCTAATTTATCTAATTTGCACATTTTACGTAAAAGGAAATGTGTATTCCATTTAAATACATCCTTGTTCAACATTCATTAAATTCACTTAAGGAAGTTTGCTAGTTCTTTCAACTCATCATAACTCATCAGAAATAATCCACGTGTAACAGAATAATCAATCTACTCCGTTCTTTCAGCATTTGCATGAGTAGAAATATCTATATTTATTCAACAGAAAAGCTAAAAGTTTAACTACAGGATGATGTATCTCCAAAGTGTTAGTGAGAGGAAACCTACATTGTTGACACGCATGACTACGAAACATTGAGTTGTATTGAATGACTGATTATTTTCGTAATATTATTCAGTAATATGCCGAATAAGGTATAGTGTGTCAATACAAAGATATCGTACAATTTTACACGGAAACTGGCAAAAAGAAAAATATTCCCCTAGCGTTTGCGTCATTCGTAACCGCTTCCCTTCTTCCAGAAGCCCCCCCCCCCACATGCATATTTTATTACATGGAAATGCAGTAATTCAGACTTCTTCGGAAATGTCCGCTACTGAACAGACAGCTGTCAGCCACCGTTGCGGAACTTCCTGATAAGAAGTGTAAGACGGGGAACGAAAGACGCGTTCACAGGTCATCACGAGCAAAGACAATGCAAATACTCCCACCCGCGAATGACTGGGAAGGAAGAGCCATAATAAAGGAAAAACGAGATGCTTTATGATGATGTAGTTGACAGGTTGAAAGTCGGAATTATTCTCTTTATGATCAGAGAGAAGCAAGTACAAATTAACATGACGGATGTGAATTGGCCTTGAACTCACATTACACGGAGTTAAAAAATATTATTAAAAATGCAATGGTTATAAAACAATTAACTTGCTCCTTGTTGTGCTGAAATGATTAGCATCTGACATTCTACGGTAACTTTGTAGAACGATTAGCGTAACACCAATCAGTTTCTTACTTCTCTATGCCCTTTACTATTCGACACCTTCAGAAATATTTACGAAGTTGGAATAGGAAAAGAATGCATCAAAGAGAGTAGTGACCCGCACAAACGAATCTTCAATATGGAAATAGAAAAGGTCACAGATAAAGCCGCCGTGTATTGTGGCGAACATTGTGTAACATTTATCTGAGAGAATGAGCAATCACGAATAAGTACTGTATGAACACTATTACAGTGTATCCCTAATTCAAAATGGGAACTACGATCAATTTATCTTTGCAGAAGTTCGTGATCGCCCGAAATGCAGTTATAAACGCAGAAGAGAATGTAAATTATACGAGTACACGTACATAATAAAATTGCGGACTTTGAAGGCATTGAGAACAGTGGCAGTTTCTCAGGGGAAGGAAGGGAGGAATGTCCTCACATTTTGTCTTTTTTGAATGTAATTACCGAATAACATATTTGCTTTGATGTAAGAGCGAAAATGTATATTTTATTACTTTATAATTAACAGGAATCTGAGTTTGATCGAGGTTAAACAGCGCTCGCTTTGTAAGCGACGCGTAAACTATATCGCGTCCGGGAGGAATTCTCAGCGTTTCCTCGCACATTTTCTGGAGCCCTCATTTCGCAAAAAGCGGAAGGCGGGAGGAAGAGAGTGGAGAGAGAGAGTGGAGAGAGAGAGTGGAGAGAGAGTGGAGAAAGAGTGGAGACAGAGTGGAGAAAGCGGAGAGAGAGTGGGGAGAGAGTGGGGAGAGAGAGAGAGAGAGAGAGAGAGAGAGAGAGAGAGAGGGGGTATTACGATGACAGGACTATTATATCAAATCTATTACTCAATTTTGATGCAGAATTGTTTCTAGTATATGGGTACGAACATTTCTGGTTATTTCATTTTGTCAACAACGCTCGTCGCTATCTGTTATTCACAATTCAACTAATGTTAGTACAGGAGTGGGGGTAAGTATTCCGAGGCTCAAGAAAACGTGCGCACATAATAGTAGTCGTCAAGATGACAGAGCACTGCTAAGACCAAAGGCTTTTAATGCAGCTTTGCCGCCTGAGGGGAAGAGTTCGTCCCTAAAGTGCTATCTCTTATCGGTTATTTGATTTTTAACATCCCTGGGCTGGACCTCTGCTGGGCTCCCACCACGCGCTTGAGTCATGTGCAATCCAAGAGCCAAAATGTAGACGGTGTAATCTCATTTCAAACAGTGGCACAACCATGGACTGATGGGAACTCGCATGAGAGGGAAAATCGAATCGATACGTCCATCGCTCCCTTTTTCAATACCAAGATAACGAGTAGTGTGATTAGTATACTCATAAATGCTTTAGCATTTTTAGGTAGAAATGGGCCTAGTGAAAATATTTTTCTTGTGCTTCCTTCACAACACGATTCGCGTGCTGATTGCTGTGCTAAATTGTTTGAGTTTGTTTTCCATAACTGTTTTAATCCTGTAAAAAGCAGGAAAACTGATTTTTGTGGACTGTTAGAAGACAGTTTGATAGCTGCTGTACTGAAAAGTCGTCCAACTACGACACTCGGGGCTTTGAGGCCCCACCAGCAAGACAAAGAAACCTTAGTTTTTCAGGGCATGGAAAAATATAGCGTCTTAACAGGATACGAACAACATTTTTTTCTTGCAGTTTTCCAAGCTTTTTTTTTCAAATTTTAAAGATGTCCGGTCATCCCTGATTTCATGAAATTAAAAATCTCGGCCGCGGAACTCGGGGGCTCGAAAATCAGGCAACACCATGATTGTTCGCTAAAATTAACATTTTTGTTAAAAATTATTATCGAAGCGATCTACTTACTTTAAGCGAAAAAACAGTGATTCTCTTGACATTGTATCTGTATTTAGATTTAGATTTATTAATAATTCTGCAATTAAGTGTGAGAACTTGGTGGCAGAATACACTAACTTAACATTACAGAACTTAACAACTATACAAACTCTACAAACTTAACAAAATCACATGAACATTTCAACGTGCAATCTTTCATAGAACTCCACTTCACCGCACTGCGATACAGCGAGCTGTAATGTCTTTCATACTCACTCGTTTCTCTCAGTTACACAACGTCACTGCACTTCATGCTACTGCACTGCACATAATAATAATAATAGTAATAATAATGTAAATGACACTACAAATTTGCTGTACGTACGTTTCATAGTAGTATTTGCCATTGACTTCTTTCTTTCTCTTAAGAAAGTCTCACAGATTGAGGATTGTTAAATGAATGGTTTCAACTTGTAACTGGGTGCACATGCATTATCAAAATTTTCTGAAATTATTTATTTCTCTTTGAGATTAAAAATATATGTAATTGCCCTATGGCCAAACGAGTGTTTCCACATGTACAAAACATGCTATTAACGTATTCTTTCATTTCAATTTTAGCTACGGGTGTGCCCTGCCCGGAGATCATTGGAGGCACGACGCGTCCGCCAACCGCAGACAGGCGCCGAGCGTTGGCCGCAGCGAGCGCACCTGTGCGCAGCCACTGACCGGTCCTACCCCAAGGCCAGCGGCGAGCGCTACGCCTCTCCGCCCTGGAAGCCGCTCACAGCGCTGCCCCCCGACAGAACGCGACTTCATCCGTCAATGAAGCCATCTGCATCTCTGGCAGCCCGAGAGCCATTGACAGGCTCGCAACAGCTCTTTCAGGAGTACTCTTCACTCATCTCCACGTCTTCGGTCAGTGTCACATAAGAGTGAACAGTGTTGAATACAATTTTATTTTCTTAACAATATTAGCGTAGACATTCATTAATGCATCTCCTGAATGACCTATGACGAAAAAGCTGGAATTTTTAATCTCCAGCGCTATTAACGTGGCAATCTCCTTGTTTTGACATGGTTTCACGTCGTAGCTATCATGAGCATGTTCATGCGTGGTGCTTTTCCTCAATTCACGCCTTTTGTATAAGTTGCTTAACTCTCAAGTCCTCATCACTAGTACATTATTTCGTCACTCGTCAATTTCTTCCCCATTGCCTGTACGGCGATCCTCGACAGTCCTGTTATGTTTCCATTATCGACATGTTAAATGCATGAATTTACCCCTGCCATTCCCGACACAAGATACCATTTACTACCCTCGTACACATAATTTCTCTGCCGCTTTCCCCGACCCTATACTATAGTAATCTACACGACGACGAGGACATGAATATTCAATTTTAAAAACAGATATTGATAAGAATATAAATTGGCAATATTTAATTTCTGTGCTATTTAATAATTCCGAAAATTATTTTTGATTTCAAATAAACTTTTAAGGTTTTATAATGGAGGGATGTTTTAAAATTATGACTTATTATCTGACAAGCTAAAGCTACGCAGAAAGTATTTCAATATAAAATCGCACGGTTGTCAACCTTTTCCCTTGGAATCGCCAATGCTACCATGGCTCAACGTCACGTTCCGGGTCTTCTGGCACCCAGTGCCTCCTTTCTCTGCTACTTGGTGAAAGAAGCGTAGCGAAATTTGCATGATAAGACGGAAGAGCAGGCCTCATGGCCTAAGTCTCGCCACGCCAGGCATTAGTTCAATTCATTTCAATTCAATTCAACCCAATTGAGTGCCCACCCGTCCCCAGAGCCGCGCTTTTTCCTGCGCGGTCGCTTCCGGGCTGGTGATGCGACATCAATTACAAACGTAGATGATCAAAATTAAAACATCGATTTTAAGAAAACGTCAACCAAAAAATTGAAAATACTTTTAAAACAGTTTACGGGGTCGGCAACGCTACATTCAGCTAGTTGTTCCGTATTTTAACTTTTACAAAATTGTGATGTGGGAATTTTCATTCACAAATAAATCGTCGATCATAAAACATCGAAGTTAGAAAAGAACTCGATCTTTAATATATCGATGTTTAAATCTTTCGAGGTTTCTGTGAATATATTCTATTAAAGCATCAATGCTTTTGCAAACACGTCGCATCCACAGTCCGCCCCGCGCTTCGACGCCCTCCTCCCGCGGCGGCCGTTGCGTAAGCGCTGACGGTCACAGGCTCGCGAGCGAGCGGGCGAGTGGGAGGGCGGGCGAGCAAGAGGGCGGGCGGGCGGGCGAGCGATGCGAGCGGGCGGGCGGGCGAGCAAGAGGGTGGCGGGCGAGAAGAGGGCGGGCGGCGGGCGGGCGGGCGGGCGGGCGGTCGGATGCCACATCTGCAGCCGGGCAGCTTCTCCGCGTCCGTCAAGCGCGCGGACCCTGGCCGCTGACCCGCCGCCGACAGAACGATCGCCCCTGAAAACGCTTTTCACTCCTCCGCGCGATTGACAGGGAAAACCAGGCGCTGTTGGGGCGTCATAAGGAAAGTAGACACGGCAGCGTTCGGTCTAAAGCCAGTCCTCGTAAAGGCGAGGTGTGTTGTCCTTGAAGTTGGAAGATAGAGGAGGACATGTGCGTTTTCATTGAGTTTTTCTGTTATACTGCACGTTTGGAACTACGCGTGCGTCGTTTCAAAAATCAGGTAATCAATAATGCTTAATTAGAGTACCTAAACTCAGAAAAGTTCTGTTTGTAAGAGTGAATTATGCTAGTATTGAAGAAGTAAATATTGAAAATACAGAATTCGGAGACAATTATCTTTTAAAGTACTGAAAAATTTAACGAGAACATGTTTTGCGAAATAAGTGTCTTCGGTTCAAGAACTAATTGAGAAGAATTAAACCTCCAATCACTGTTCTGTCCTACATATTGCTGAATAAAGGTACTTTATTTCCTAACTGTGTTGCCTGGAACTATTTTTCAGATTACAAACTTGATTTAGACAGGTAAAGGTGTTTAACTAGGAACTACGGAATTCACATTTTGATAACAATGACACTGAAATATTTTATGATCTACAGCAATACCTTCAAACATTACAACGAAATATTGTAATTATGGACGTTTCAACACAATGAACATCAACTTTATCCTGGCTATTCTCTCATTTAAGAACTCAACATAGAAGAACTAAGGAACTAACTTGTTAGGGCTCATAGAATATCTCCTATCGTATCAATTTCCCAAAATGTGCTCTTTCAGAGAGGGTATCCGAATACGATCATAATTACGAGACTCGTGTGTTTTATAACGTAGGCTACAGGTCCCCCAAGCGAAATTTTCATAGGGGCATGCTCCCTGCTCCCCGTGCACACGCCTGGTAAGTTTCAAGCTAAAAACACAAATAATAAGAATCGAACGAGTTGCCACAGCATGCCCCGTTACAATAAAGCCTGTAGAAATTTCGGGAGGGGACCGATCCGACCTTCCCTCGTGGTCCCTCCCGGTCGCAAGCTGTTGCCCCCCCCCTCCCCCCAGGGGCGAAGCGGCTCGGCGCCGTCGCCGGGAAAATTCGGGGAAATTCGATCCGAGGACCTGGCGGCGGCGGCGGCGACAGCGAGGAGCGGAAGCGCGCCCGGGGAGTCGCCCTCCTTGCCCGCCCCGCCAGGGCGGAAGCGCCGCCCCCGCCAGGGCGAGGAGGAGAGGGCCCTGGCCGCCACTTCAACACAGGTGCCGGAGCTGCGTTACGCAGGAGAAAACCACGGTATTGCCAACTAATTGGGGGTGTGGTATGTTCACATTCGAGAATGTTCGGATTATCCGAAAACATGTACCGAATATATTCAAGTACATCTATAGGATTACCAGACGAAGCAATGTAGCGTGCGATGTGAGAAAATGACGCCGTAGCCTAGCGATCGCAACGTCATATCGCATCATCGAACAGTCAGTTCCTTACGGCTAAAGAAGTTTACCGATTTTGCCGATTACCTATAAGTGGAAATTACTGCTACATTAACATGTGATATACATCGCAGTTACCAGAGCAATAAACGTTTCATTTTGACAACTTGTGATTCAATAATTCGTTGTTCAGTTCTCTAGTAATTATAAAATTCATTCTTTACACTACAAATAAGCATTTTATTTATTTATTTATTTATTTATTTTTGGTTATTTTTCCTCCATCCGGAATATTGTCCGGATTATCTCAAATTTCGGATTTGCATGGTTCGGATTAGCGAAGTTGTTCTGTATACTCTTTCACTTTGACCCATTGTCGGATTTCAACGCAAGTGTATATTTCGAAAGAAGCCCTATATTTCCGCAAATTGCTGATTATTCTGTCAATTGTGTTCGAAAACGGTATCATTACTCATATTTATTTACGATATTAGGTTCGAATGCATCAACAGCATGTAAAAACCTATGAGAAATAAAAAAGTTATTAATATACTGAGTTGACATATTTCGTGGGATATACAAGTGTTTTAGCTCTCGTTTTCGATATTGTACTGCATAAACGGATAATATTTCGTAGATTATTTGTGTGCATATAGTAAATCCGGTCTGTACTAGTACTCTCAACTGTGATCGGACACACGCTCTGGAGGTTGTGAAGCAGTATTTTATCTTTTGGCCTCCTGCATATCGGGCCTTTTCATGAAGCAAAGCAAGTCAGGTTCTTGTTGAGAAGCGACCCAGCTTCGGCGACCGAATGGAAAAGCTAAGAGTGTTCTCGCTTTTACTCTGGCAAACAAGCCACTAACTATAAAATAAATATGTAAAATAGGTTTAGCCTGACTGGACCAACAGAAAAGCAAACAAAACAAAGCTTCATCGCTGGCTGTTTTCTTTGAACTTGTCACACTAAACAAATTTACATGCTTAAACGTCGTTCTTCCCTATGATTTTGAATTATTTGCTTCTCGTCAGTGCAGAATATTAAGGTTGCAATTCAGAAGACAAGGACAGGTTTCAGTAAATTTCTGCAGCATATAGGTAAACGGTTCATTTGCTGTGTATTGCAAAAACTTCATCTGGCATACAGAATTGTACATTCCATATGACAATGTTCGTAACGGAATTTATATTGTATCATTGCAACACTACCAAAAATACAGTTCTGAACCACAAATGTTTGTTTTGGATTTTATTATTCAATATGAGGTCGCATTAAGTTTTCCATCGGCCGGTCCGGATGACCGAGATCGCTAAGGCAGTAGTGCCGTAGCGATCTCAGACAGAAGGATCGCGTGTTCGAGTGTTCGCCTCGGGCATGGTTGAATTGTGTTCGTCCTTTCACCCACTATCATCATCATAGATGACGCTATAGTGTCACCCTCATAGTTATCATAACGTTACTCGCAAAAGTGTCATACTCTAAATTTTATCTCACTCCATAGGTTTATTCTCCGACTTTGATTTATATTTGTTTACGTCATGTTGGCGTTTTAAAACCATCTTTTACCGTGAGAACTTCCTGACTCTCGTAGTAAATGAAACAATGGAGGGAACGAGTGTTATCGTACAGAGGTGTCGTCTGTAACTAGCTCCTGTAATCGAGTGGATGCGTTTTGATGCCCAAGATAAGACCAGGGTCGAGTTCGATTCGCTTGAATATTACTTTCGTACAATTTAAAAAGTTAATATGTAATATGATATCAATAAATATGTAAATCAACTCGCGATTTCGAATCGTAGGTATTCCATTACATGCAAATACTTTTGAATAGGTGTTTGCATGAAAAATTAACTTTTCAGAGCAATCAGTATTTACTTCAACATATTAAAAGATATATTAATATCTCATCTCAGCGTTACAAGACAGAAGGCCTTGTGATTTTGACCCGAGCAGAATCTGCATTCCGATCTCAAACACGCACGCGACATCGTCCTCCAAAGAATGCGTTCCTGCGAGGAGACGCTGCATAGGGCGCAGTTCGGCTCGTACTCCCGCGAGAGGCCTTCCAGCCCGCCGCCCACCACAAAAAAGTCTCTCCGTGTTTCCAGCGGGGCTACCGGAGCACACAATGGTTGCAGGGTCGAGCTCGTGTGTTGGCTCGGGTGCCGCGGAAGCGCGCGCCGCACGTCTTTTGTTTGTGCCCACGAGTTGTGTCGCATGTTTTTTAAACTGTTGAGAACTAACTTTCGTAGTTTTATTTTACGGACGGTTTCTTCTGGAGTGGAAAATCGTTTCCATAACAACGGTGCGGTGATTGTGATAAATGGTGAGGATATTCACTTGAGGGAGACGCGAAGTGAATTTTGTGGCCCTGTGTTTGCTCACTACAAACTTTATACTAAAGAAAAGCGAAAGTGACATATTTTTAAAGTCCACAATGTGTCAGATTCTTTTGTTTTTTAACTTATATATATATATATATATATATATATATATATATATATATATATATATATTTCCTTCTCATAACTATATTTATTTTAATGTTGTTTATTTGAACGATTTTTTCAATTGGAATGTTTAAAATCTAACATATCAAAAGCCTCAGCACTATTGAAATAAGATATTTCTTCACATCCACGAACCCTATAACATTATTAACTTTGGAATTGTCGGTAATATCAAAAATGACTTTCACTAATCCTACTACGATATTTAAACAATAAATTAATTAGTGCAATAGCAGCATGTCGTTTGTCGTGTTATTTTTAATGGTTACGTAGTATTACAATACCACAAGAAAACGCAAAAGTAATTCCAACCCTCAAGAAAGAATACTCACCTGTGAATTGAACTGTGGTGCCTTGGTTCCGCAAGTACTTCACGTATTCGCTACAATGGATGTTCCCAACGTGTTAAAAAGTATCATGAACATAATAATGCTATTTTCGAAAATTGAGATGTTTTAATGAAAATCGACCCTAAAGATCTAATTTAGAAGAATATATTTCATTAAGAAATAATTACAAGGAAGTCTTCCTTCATCTACAATTTCGAAGAATTGTAGTGCATTTGCGAAGATTTTAAACTTTTGCAATTTTTGCAAATAGTTTAATGAAATTACGAACTAAACTAGTTTTATAAGTGCGCTTTTCTCTATTCATAAAATGAATAAGAAAATTGAAGTCATTTTTTGAGAAAATTCTGAAAATATCCTAGACGCGTCATTTACAGTACCTCCCCTCCCCACACACGAGCGCACACACACGTGATATTAAAATATTTGTTTCAAATAACTGGGAAATCAGTCATATATCGATTAAGAAATTTCAAATTTGATGAAAATCCTGTGAAAGGTAAAGGCGCTTTGGAAAGGTAAACTTTGTGCCCAGACAGGTGGACACGCGGAGGGCGTTGTGGCGGAAGTCAGATTTTCGGTATCGAGGACCCACAAATAGTGGATTCTGATGATACAAAATATTGCAGGAAGTAGTTTACAATGTACATGTAGGAGCAAGAATGAACCACTATTTCGGAACGAGTTTTTTCTGTCGAAAAATCACCGTTTGTCGCTGCAGCATTACGTAACTTTATCTACACTACGTAAGTAGTGTGCGAGAAAGTGAAATATTAAAGTTTTTTTTCTGCTCGCAAATATACCGACTTCGACCACGCGTGCATTCACCCTGCATTTACCTGGGCTCAGTAAGATTATCTCGGTGGCAGGTGCATGTAATTTGTCATGGGATCAGCATTTAGCTAGATCCGATCTTTAGCCTCCAGGGTTGTTAGCCCTGGGGGCATGGAAAATGAAATGATTATAATAGTGAAGGGTGAAAAGACGACACACACACAGGCATACACAACACAACCGTGCCCGAGGAGGGACTTGAACCCACGAACTTCTGGACCGAGACTCTTACGGCACTTAGCGATTTCGGCCATCTACTCGGCTAATAAAGTTATTATTATTATTATTATTGTTATTGTTATTATTATTATTATTATTATTATTATTATTATCATCTTTCTTGGGCGCATTCTTGAAACTTTCAAGGCCGGCACCTGTGACTTTCTATCCAGGCAGAAAGCAAACTTCCAAAGAGCAGACGATATTCCGTCGGTTTCCGCAACCAGGACATCCAAGGTAGATCCAAAGAATTAGTTAAACTATTTTCTTAACCTCCATGCATGGAAACTTGTGTTTCCGTTCATTGGAAAATGTTAATGCATTGCGTTACACTTATGGTAAATTAACAATGTTCATGATGCTGTAAACAAAACACTGGGCAACTTGAAATTAACATGGCCGCAGTCGGGAATATTGTGAATGATTCTCAGACTAGAGTACACGTGACAGTTTCCGAGAATTCGAATTGAAACATAATTTATGCAACAGATTATTAAGTGTTTTTGGCATAGTATTTTCAAAACTCTAGATCTCTGCCCCTATTTTCGCCTCGTCCGGAAACATGTCATTCGTTCGCCGAAGACGTTCTTTCTCTGCCAGTTACGTAACTAACTTACGTTACCCATTTTTCGAAATTACTTCTGTAACGTATTGGCGTACTTTTAAGTATAACATAATGATAGCTCCTGGTAATAATCTTGTAGATATCTGAATATTAGTCCTTAGAAACAACGTTAGCGACGAATGAGTACTGAAAAAAATAGAAATTTGTTTCGTAACTGACTGTATATGTCATGTGTTGTTTGGTGCACAGATGACTCAAGTAGAAGCTAAGATTTGCCTCTTAGATCATACCAATTTATTAATATTGATTTTTCATTTCTCTATCAAGTGACATCTGTTCTCAACACAATACGTAAAGATAATATTATCAGCATGCTTTACCATTCGTGAGAAAATTGTAAACAAGATTTTGGGTTAAGGTTTTCTTGTACGATGTTATGCTTTTGTACTAAATTACCTTTTTAATTTTATATCGTAAGAACATAATTGAATGTACAGGACAGTATTAAATGAAAAAAATGGTTATGATTACCTCAAAAAACTGATTATGAGTATATATATATATATATATATATATATAT